CTAATTCATTCCCAGTTTCTTTCCATAACTTGTATTCGTCATAAGATAAAAATGAATACATTTTACCCAATAATAATTTCAGCCCATTTTCCAAACAAATCTTAGTAAATTTTGCATTGATTTTCATAGAACCTTTTTATAGAATAATATTTCATAAAAGTTTCTATGAAAATCAATGCAAATTTCATAATTTTTATGGTTTAAAAAATTTTTCTGATGATTTTATTTATCAATGTATTTGTACGAGGGATGCACCGATGCATCGGGTTTTTTATTTTGTAATTCTATATTGAATACATAATTACAATCATTCTATAAAATAAAATGCAAGAATAAACCTAAGTTATTATGTAGACATATCTACAACCACTTAACCTTAAAGTATTTTTTTAACCATTTTTTATCAGAAGGTGTATTTAGTGTCTTTTTGTAATATGGGAAGCAATTATATGACTTATGGATCCAAAATATACAAAGACATAAGTTTAAAAAAAAAGAAATGTAAAATGTGCAAAATAAATTTTCTCTTCTTGGTATTTTTATTTCGTAAAGTTTACAAATTGCTTTGAACGTTTTTTTTTTCTTGGTATTTTTATTTTGTAAAGTTTATAAATTGCTTTGAACGTTTTAACTATATCAAAATAGTCTATTAGACTATTTTTATTTTTATTAGACTACTTTGACTTTTGATGAGCAAAGTTACTAAGCATTAAACAAACTTTAGCAAATAAGTAAGCATTAAAAATAAGCAAACTTTAGTAAATAAAAAAGCATTTAAATTGACCATTTGCATTAAAAATAAGCAAACTTTAGCAAATAAAAAAGCATTTAAATTGACCATTTGCATTAAAAATAAGCAAACTTTAGCAAATAAAAAAGCATTTAAATTGACATTATATTTGGAAAAAAATTCTAATTTAAAGAAAAAAGTACAAAATTGAATTTATGTTCGATGCTGATGGATAGGTATCGGCTTGTATCAATCAGCACCGGCATCGGCCAAAAGTTGGCATCCCTAATTTGTACACAATAACATTTCTTTAACACGAAAGCTCTCATATTAAAGAACTCATATTTGCAATTGATGATTTAATAATATACTTCTGATGTTTTTTGGTTATCTTTCTTTTTACCCTCTATTGATACAAGAACTCATAAAGCTTATATATCATTAATAACGTTAATCTACATATATAATAGGTATAACACATCTCGTATTTACAATGGAATTCCGTTTCATTTATTTTATTTTTGTTTTTTTCATTTATCTTCAAGTATATATACTTTTAAAGAAAGTTTGAATAATTTGTTTTTACAGTAATTTACTCGATATCGTTTATGTAACTTTAAATCTCTTTTTGTTTTTAATTTTTATGAAACAAACTATTTTTCCTCAAAACTTAGATTCCAACCACAATTTTTTTTGTACTAGTTTATCAGGGGCGGACGCAGGTTTTTAATTTTATCCTACATTTTTTTTTATAAATATATAAACCTTTAATAAGGTTTTTCAATATTTATTATAAGATACAAAAAAAAAAAATCTATTTTGTAAATTTCTTTGTTTCTTTTTTTTATTTTTATTATTTATAAAACGATAGAATTTCAAATTAGGAAAAATATTTTACAAAATAAATATTTTACATAATAAATAAATACTTATGATTGAAAAAATTACAAAAATGTTTAATACATCTACTACAATAAAATAATTTTTACAAAAAGCAAAATTCGTTTACTATTCGTTTACTGTTTAAAATTACTTTTTTTGAACAAAAAGTTTTTAATGGTCAAAATTAGATATTTTCATAAACTGAAAATAAAAAGTTTTTATTGATAAAAAACTAAAATTGACATATTATTGATCAATAATAGTTTTTCAACATAAATACTAACAGTTCAATCAAAACTATCAGCTATCATTAGCAAAATACTAACAGTTCAATCAAAATTATCAGCTATCATTAGCAAAATACTAACAGTTCAATCAAAACTATCAGCTATCATTAGCAAAATACTAACAGTTCAATCAAAACTATCAGCTATCATTAGCAAAATACTAACAGTTCAATCAAAATTATCAGCTATCATTAGCAAAATACTAACAGTTCAATCAAAACTATCAGCTATCATTAGCAAAATACTAACAGTTCAATCAAAACTATCAGCTATCATTAGCAAAATACTAACAGTTCAATCAAAACTATCAGCTATCATTAGCAAAATACTAACAGTTCAATCAAAATTATCAGCTATCATTAGCAAAATACTAACAGTTCAATCAAAATTATCAGCTATCATTAGCAAAATACTAACAGTTCAATCAAAATTATCAGCTATCATTAGCAAAATACTAACAGTTCAATCAAAACTATCAGCTATCATTAGCAAAATACTAACAGTTCAATCAAAATTATCAGCTATCATTAGCAAAATACTAACAGTTCAATCAAAATTATCAGCTATCATTAGCAAAATACTAACAGTTCAATCAAAATTACCAGCTATCATTAGCAAAATACTAACAGTTCAATCAAAACTATCAGCTATCATTAGCAAAATACTAACAGTTCAATCAAAACTATCAGCTATCATTAGCAAAATACTAACAGTTCAATCAAAACTATCAGCTATCATTAGCAAAATACTAACAGTTCAATCAAAACTATCAGCTATCATTAGCAAAATACTAACAGTTCAATCAAAACTATCAGCTATCATTAGCAAAATACTAACAGTTCAATCAAAACTATCAGCTATCATTAGCAAAATACTAACAGTTCAATCAAAACTATCAGCTATCATTAGCAAAATACTAACAGTTCAATCAAAACTATCAGCTATCATTAGCAAAATACTAACAGTTCAATCAAAATTAGCCGCTATCATTAGCAATTCAATGGAAAACATTTTGGGAAAAAAGTTAAAAAATTCTCGTTCAGAACGCAAGAAGTAGAAAAAGGAATTAAAAAGTGAGAAAAAAGTTTGATACGTCTATAGAATTATTTAAGATTTAAACAGTAAATATGAAAAGTATAATTAAATTACCCTGTGAGCAGATATGTGGAAAACTTATTATCTAAATTTTTTTGATTCTTTGAAGAAAATATTCCTTGTTTTTTATTTGTAGTTTGTGCTTTTTTGATGTTTTAGATATGGTACCTTTTTTTCAATTTTCGAAAAAAAGGAACCATATCTAAAATTGAAAATCTCTATTTTTGATAGGCCTACCTACAGTATTTCAGTGTTAATTTTAATAATGACAAAAGATCTAATAACATCTTAAATAAAGTTTAGAACGTTTTGCCATTTTAAATCAAGCATCTTATTACTATTGCTTCCAGAATATTTAGAAAGTATAGATTTAAATATAAAAACACCCCAGTTTCTATTGTAGCTGTTTAAATGTTTATGTAATTACCAAAATAAAAAACTAAAAAAGTGAAGGATGAAGAATCAAAGACAATAACAACATTACCTTACAGTCAATAACTTTTTAAAATTTTCAAAAATTCGATAAATCTAAGAATTAAAAAAACAAAAAAATTAAAAAGAACAAAAAGCAATGGTATGTTTGTAATGGATTATGGAGTAAGGTTGCATATGGAGAGTAATGGATTCAATGCTCAAAATGTACATATTGAGCTCATGGGGGCTGTACATTAATTACGTCAACAAAATAGAGGATAAGGAAGGGGATCTGAATTTTTCTGACAGTTGTTGACACGGTGGGGTGGGGGAGGTCAAAACAAGTTGATGTCAACAATATTACTTTTTTAAAATAAATTTAATAACTTAAAAAAAGAAAAATTATAATAAAAAAAATAATTAAAAAAGGTTTATGTAAGTACATTATGTAAGTATACAAGGTGTATACATTTTTATGAACCCTTTGTATATATATTGCAACAAAATTAATCTAGGTTTTGAATAAATCTAGGATACTAGATGAATAACGACCATGATGACCACCAGAGTTTATTTGCAGCTGCACTAACACTTTTTTCCCCCTCCAAAACAGAACTTGCTGCAACTTGCAGAACTTGCTGCCTCACTTTTTTTTGTTTGTAGTCTATTTAGTTATAAACTGGAAATATGTTCATAAGTTTAATGTTTAATTTTTTTTTTTTATACCTTTTACTTTAATTCACTTTTTGTTCAGAGCATTTGTAATTTTAGATATATTTATTTGAAATTTGTTCATAAGTTAAAATTTGAATAATTTTTTTTTTCGAAACAATTTACTTTTAATCACTTTTTTGCTTTGTTTTTTAAATTCCATGTAATTATGTGAACATCACCATGTAATTCCTGTGAACATCACTATGTAATTCCTGTGAACATTACCATGTAATTCCTGTGAACATCACAGTACAAAATTGTATTTTTAAAAGAATAGATCTTTCAAAAATCAAAGAAAGCTGTCAGAATCAATTTTGGTGCAGTTATTGATTTTCGCCATACCTCATACCTCACTTCTCGCCTCAAAGATGCAAGTAGCTACTTAATTGAATAAAGCGATATTTTTGTCAGCAACTTGAGACTGTGATAAACCTGCTGCAGAAGTGCGGACACCTTGACTTAACATTTTATGTGAATAAAAGGCATTCCATTCCTTTACGAAACCGTTTGAATTAGTTAACAACTAATATTAAAAATAACAATTAACAACTCACACTTATTCTCACACCCAGTTCAGCCGGTTATTTTAAAGTTCGCTGGATATAATTTATATATAATATAAATGATTATATTCCTACAACATTTTGTAGGGATACGTATACGGCCAGGTATTGCTATATAACTATATAGCAATACGTATTCCTATAAAAATTATATCCAGCGATAAAAAAAAAACGTTGAAAAAATTACAATATAAATGTAAAACAAAAATTTTTTGTTTAATAAATATTTTTTAACTTCTTCAATAAATATTTATTTTTCAATATTTTATTCTTATTTTTTTATATTTTTTATAATTACTATTTAATAATTATTTACACCTTTAAATTATACGTTTCCAACAATTCATAAAATAAACGTTTCCAACAATTCATAAAATATTTCAGTTGAAAAATGCGTTCTGATAAAATTATAATTGTCTGAATTATCAGTAATAAAGTTATCGATATGGAACTCTTGAAGCATTGGTTTAAACTTTCACAAATTATTAAAATCGATTTCTTTAATAATGATTATAATTTTTACATAACATCTATCGTTTTTGCATTACACTTATCGCTTTTTGTATGACATAACACAAAAATTTCTGGAAAACAATGACCTTGAAGAATTTAATTAACTATGATAGTTTGTAGATAAGCTATGAAATGTTTTGTGTAATAATAATATTTTGCATAAACCTTTAGAATTTTCTTCCAAATTATCAAAATAATTGAAAACACAAAAACTTCTTAGCTCTGTAACTTTAGTAATTGGTGACAGTTCCAATATACTTACTAAAAGCTATGCTTCGGTATACACCTTATTAAAGACTACCTATGCTTCAATATACACCTTACTATAAACTACAAATGCGTTTAAAAACTCTGTTGATTGGAATGAATTTAAGTGCTTTGGGTTTGTAATATACATCTGCTATGGAGCTTATTGCAGGGTTGACATGCACCAGATGATAAAACAAAACCAGAGGGACAAATGCTTAGACAAGATCTATTAAACATATAAAATCCAGGTTGACATTGAATGCATATTTTATCATTGCAGTTCAAACACCCTAAAAACCTTAGATCACATGATTCGCAAACATTATTTTCTTTATGTCGTATGTATCCGAAAGGGCAATTCTTAATACAGGTGGAATTAAATAAAACTGATGGGTGAATACAAGAATGGCAAGAGGAGCTGTTACATTTCAGACATTGATCATTACATGGTTGACACCTCTTCTCTTTTTCGTAGTACCCTTCAGGACAACTTTGCACACATTGATGTTTTCCTTCATTTGATACAAATAAAAAGTAATTATCTATGCAACTATTACAGTAACGAGTATCGTTGCATGACCGACAAAATAAATCACACGATGAACAGGAATAGTCACTTTTATTATAAAATGTGCCCATGGGACAACTAGTTTTGCAAACTCCATTCACCAGATCATACATTGGTGGACATAATAAACATGTACCAGAAACCTCTTCACAGACTAAGCAATTTTTATCATTACATTTCATGCACACATTATCTTTTGGATATCGATAATATAATATTGGGCATTGATGGGAACAAATTCCATTTGGTTGTAAATAAGTTGAATTATTACACTTTGTACAAAAAATTTTTCCATAAAATTCTAAATAAAATAATTATACAAATCCGTATACTTCAAATTTTTGCATTTTTTAGTTAAAACAATTAAATTAAAATATTTTTTAGTTAAAACAATTAAATTAAAATATTTTTTAGTTAAAACAATTAAATTAAAATAAAGATAAAATAATGAACGTAAAAACGTACCGTAACAACGTAAGCAATTACCATTACATGATAGACATTTGTTTTTTAAAGGACTATAAAAAAACCCAGCAGTACATCCTTCAATGCACATTCCGTTATAAATACTGAATCCTTGACGACATGTTAAACATTGGTTTGGAGAAGCACCGTCACAAGTGCTACAACTATCATGACATTGATAACATCGATTACTTTTATCTTTAAACATATGAGCTGGACATGCAGAATAACATTTGAAATCATGCCAAACTTCATTTGTTCCACAATTTGTACATAAATCAAAGTTATAGATACATTGACTACAGCGTGAACTACAGCGAGCGCACGCGTGATCAAACGTTTTAAACCAACCTAACGGGCATTGAGAAACACATGTATTATTGAGAAAATAAAGTTTATCAATACACGTAAGACATTGTTCAAAGCTTGGTCCTACACACGAAGCACAAGAATAATGACATGGTTTACATGTTAATGTTTTTTCATCATTATAGAACTTCCTTTGACAAACTTTGTGACAAGTATGAGTATCTGTGTGAAGAGAGAAATTTCCGTTGCATTCTAAGCATTGATCATAGTTAGGCCCAAAACAAGAACCGCACCCGGGATGGCAACTCTGACAATTATTTTGCGAAAGATATTGATTTGGGCATGGATTAACACACCCCTTGTTTCGGTTGTCCAACTCACCTTAAATAAAAAATTGATTCTAGTTATTACTAATTAATACTTTTAAAAAACCGAAAAAAAACAAAACAAGAAATATAGAAACAGAAAAATAAAAAATGTTTTAAGAAAAAAAAAAAAAACATTTACCAATGCATGATATACAGTTATCGGGCCCTAAACATTCATGACAGGTATGGTGACATGGCTCGCATACGCTAGAAATCCCATTATGCCTTGCGAAATACCCAACAGGAACTTCTTCTACACAACGCCCGTGAAACAGATGCTTACCTTGACTGCATACAGTACATTCATAAACTGTTGGACCATTGCATTCCTGACAACTTTTAGAACATTTAACACAACTAAAATTAAATTACAGAGAATAAAACAAAAAATTTAAAAAAATATTTAAAAAATAAAACGAAATGAAACTAACCTAGCAGGACTTTCAACACCATATGTGCCACTAGGACATTTATGTAAGCATTGTTTATCTGTCGTGAGATAGTAATTTAAAAAACAAGCTGTGCAAACGTTTGCATTTTCGCAAAAGGAACAGTTTATAGGACACAGTTTACATTTTCCAGTAGTAACATCAACGTAATATCTTGATTGACATTCAAGCTTTGATACACATTCGTGACCCTTCAAAAAATAACCATTAAAACAGGAGGTGCAAGCTGCAGAATTACCCGGTACACATGATTCACATTGGTGACCACAACTTTCACACATTCTTGTAATCATATCTGTGTAATAACCTTTAATAAAAATTTTTAATAAAAATAATAAAATAACTTTTTAATAAAAATAACCTTTAATAATAAAAATAATAACCTTTGTAATAAAAATAACTTTTGTAATAAAAACTGTGTAATAATATAAAAAAGGATTTAAAAAAATAAAATAAACAATAATAGAGATAAATAATCATAAAAAAATTAAATCATAGAAATAAAAAATTTCAAATTATGACTATAAAAAATCATTAGCTACAATAAAAAATTTAAATAAGATATAACAAACGATAAAACCTTGTGGGCAAAATTTGACGCAATTCCCTTCACCAGAAACTCGAAAATAATCAAAAGAACAAATGTCACATTTACGACCTTCATTGCTACACTGCAAACAGTTTTCAGGACAATCTAAGCAATCTCCAGCAATTGTATTAGCATGATATGTTCTTACAGGACAGTTAAGAACACACTGACGTCCATTATAAAGATATCTAGAATTCAATCAATTAATCAAAATTAAGATAAAAGAATGTGCGTGTAAATATGCAAATAATAATATGTAGATATACCTATCTTCTTCATCATTAAAAGACGTTTTAGGACACGTGATGCAGTTTAAATAACTACCTCCATTACATGTCTTACAAGATGAATGACAAGGCTGGCAAACATTACTATCAAACCATTCACCATCATTACATTTTGGAATGCATTTACCCTCTACTAAGATATTAGTATTTTCACAAGATGTGCACCAATCAGCATGAGTTTTGCAAGTTCTACACGATGATCCACAATTTTGACAGACAAAATGGCCACTTACATCAGCGTAGTTTAACATGTCTATAATAAAAATGTCTCTACTTAAATATATCTTAAGTCAAATGTTATCAAAAATCTATAAAATAAAATATTTAAACTACTTTAACATAACTACAATAACATAAACATACAATGAGTGTTATTTGACCAAACAGCTATTGTTACTGTCCAAACCACCACCATTCAGTTCATTAATATTACAAGTAAAACTTTTTCACGATTGCTTGATTGAAAAAATAAGCAAAACAACCAACACAAGTGCCTTATTATAGTGCCTTATGAATTTTTTTTTTCAAATTTCAACTAACTTCAAATTGTTCTTATGAATTTTGAAGTAAATTCTTTTATAGTACAAAGATTTTACTGACATTTAATTGTTTCCAAAAAATTTTTTCAGTCGATAAATGCGTTCTTATAAAATTATAATTGTTTGATTTATCAGTAATAAAGTTATCGATATAGAACTCTCGAAGCATTGGTTTAAACTTTCACAAAATATAAAAATTGACTTCTTAATAGTTATAAATTCTGCATAACACCTATCATTTTGTCTAATGAACAACATTAGACAAAGATCTTTGGATAACAATGACTTTTAAAACTTGAAGAATTTAATAAAATATGATAGTTTGTAGATAAGCTATGGATTAATGTTTTGCATAGCTTCAATCAAGCAACGTTACACACATTTTGGAAAAAAAAAATTTATTAATATAGTCATAATGATATAGAAAAAATCATCTGTTAAGATATTTTCTAAAAATTTTGAGTTTTGACCAAGTTTTTAACGAAAGTTCTAAGTGTAGAGCAGGGTATTGAAACAATTTTTTTGTATTATAAAGTCATGCAGAAAATGTTTGTGATATAAAGTTCGATTGGCAAAAACTAACTATCAATTTCAAGCTTCAACTTAAAAATGGCTGCTTGCATCGAAAAAAAATTGTAAAGTTTCTATTTAAAACATCTTACTAGATATTTTGAATAGAAGACTTTGATCAGAATATTTGTTCAGTAGTGATTCAAATGATGAAAACATAATAATAATGAGTCAAATGATGAAATCATAAAAATAAGGATTCAAATGATGAAAACATAATAATAATGAGTCAAATGATGAAAACATAATAATAATGAGACAAATGATGAAAACATAATAATAATGAGTCAAATGATGAAAACATAATAATATTGAGTCAATTGAATGAAAACATAATAATAATGAGTCAAATAAAAGTTTTAATTAAAGAATAAACATTTTAACAAATTTTACCAAAAAAACATTAAAGTTCAAGTTCAGACAAAGTTCAGGCAACAAAAGTTACGCCCAAATTTATATAAAATTTAACAACATAATTTTTGATGAATAAAAAGCTAATTAAGTTTTTGTCACTGTTTAATTATTTATTTTTTCATAATATTTTCATCATAACCTTTAACTTCATGTCATTCTAATATATAGAGATATTTCACTCAATGTTGTTTTTTCTCAGGATACCACTAGGATGTCACAGGATACCACTAGGATGTCACAGCATACCACTAGGATGTCACAGGATACTACTAGGTCTCTGTAGTATTCCAATAATCAAACAAAAAAATCAAAGAATATATGAGGATTCATTAAAAGTAAGGTAACGTGAGGTTACTTTGACATGTGGTTAACATTGACATGTGTTAGATTAAACGTTTTCACCCATCACCCGTTGATTATTGTTTAAATTATTTTAACAGATGTTATTGTCAGATGTTGAATGAACAAATATTAGATTTTTTATCCCCATTATAGTAAGTATAAATAACAACAAAATAAATTAAACTAACTTTTAGTTTTTTTGTTGCTAAAAAACTTTAGTTAAGAGATAAGTAAAACTATATTATAATATCATTTTACTTGTTTTTATTTATTGTTTCTAAATACTAAGCATTTATAATTTCTTTGTAGCATTTTTTTTAAACACATATTTCAATTTTGGGGTAACATTGACAGGATTGCTCAAGTCATCCCATGGGCCAAGAATCAAGCAAAAGTTGGTGGAAAGTTTTACATCTGATGAACCTTTCACAGTTACATGAAATGAAATCAAACAAAGCAAACCCTAATTTAAAAGAGCTAATAATATATATATATATATATATATATATATATATATATATATATATATATATATATATATATATATATATATATATATATATATATACCAATACATCAAATGTTAACAGATCTAAAAACTAACACTTGCTTAAAATCTTAAATACATCAAATGTTAACAGATCTAAAAAAGAACTTGCTTGAAAGTTAAAATCAGCACTTTTTAAGAACGAAATATTAAAACCTCAAGATTTAAAAAATTATCTTGTTGAAATCCAGCAAAAAATATGTTACAAGATTTCGTTGGAGTCAGATATTTATTGATGTGTTGTATAGCTTAATAGTTTTATAAATTTCAGAAAAAAGTTTTTAATCATAAATTAACATTTTTTTAATCATAAATTCAAATATTTTCTCTGTTTTGTTAGTCAAAACTACAATGATAATTTCACCTCACAATATAAATTAACATTCATAGCACAAAATATACTAATTTCAATCTTTGACAAACATTGACAGTTGCATGCCAACAACAAAATCAATTATCTACCAATAACATTATATAACACTTTCATATTAAAATAATTTTGTCAAACCAAGAGAAAAAAATATATTTTCTAAAGATGTGTCACCACTTTACTAAGAATGTAAGAACTTTACCACTGCTTAAACACTTTACCTTATAGTTTTCATATTATGATTTTATCTGATGTAATAGTGTACTAAAATATATGTATTAACATTACAGATCATATCACACATATAATTGTTATTTTTTGTTGATGACACTGATGGCAAGGGTTATATTTTATAACCTCTATGTTTTAATTTATTTTCAACTTTTTGTGTTTCCTTTTTATATATCTTTTCTATATTAGATTTCATAAAGAATTTCATAAGACATTAAACAGTCATATTACAATATGAACAAAAAGAGAAAAACTTTTTTATTTCAATTTATGTTTCAAGTTAAACATGAATTAGTCAAAAATTTATTAACAATGTGCATGAAAAAAATGAATTCTTTGACTATTACCCTAAAAGTAGAGGTAAGCATACTAAATAAGAGTTTTCAGATGAAACTTAAAATAAAATAATTTATTTCCAACAATTTATAGTCTTAAAGAATAGGCAGTAATTAGCCTTAACTTAACATCAAATTTGAACTTACAAAAGATCTATTATCTCTAAATTGAGAACTTACAAAAGATCTATTATCTCTAAATAGAGAATAGATCATGAAATAAAAAAAAAATTCAAGAGAAATAAAAAAAATTAAACTTCAGATATTTAACTATCACTTTAAGTTTTTAAAACTATTGGTTTAAGTTTTCAGATGTTTTTGAAGCAGATGTACTTGTTAGAGCAGATGTACTTGTTAGAGCAGATGTGCTTGTTAAGACTATAAAATAGCAAAAGAAATAACTTAAGAAAAGCATGGAAGAGATCAACTAACAAGAAAAAATAGCACAAAAAAAGAACATATGACAGTAATAATTTGCTAGGTGATGCAGTAGAAATTGTGACCTGCAAAATATTGCTCAGTGTCCATAAGCTGAAATAAGTAGGTTTTTCAACAAAAGAAAGCTAAATGTTTACAGTCTGACAGCACACAATCAATTAAAAAAAAACAATTAAGAAGCACTGTGTTGTGTCGTTAGTAGTAACTTCAGGAACAACAGGTAATAATCTGGCAAGTAGATTTTTGATGTTGCGCAAAATTTTCTTGAAACTAAACATTACTTGAAGTGGTAGTTGTGTTCCTTAAAACCGCAACTAATAATTGCAACTAATATTCAGCAGTTTAGGATGTTGATAACATCATAGCAAAATTTAAAAAAATACTGCAGTCTCAAGACATTTTTTTACAATGCAGTCTTATGACTCATTATTATTATGTTTTCACTAACTTTATTGATGGAGTTTGATTGACTGTTGCTTACAGTAAACAGAAAAAAACCATATAAAGTTATTCAAATACACTTGGAGGATTTTTAAAATTTTCAAAAGGTTGAAAACAAATTATTTTTATTTAAAAAAATACCATTTTCAAAAATAACACACCACCTCAAATTAAATTTGGAGTGATTTTATTTTTAAAAAAAAACATACACACCTCTTATTGCATATAAAATTTCTTATACAAGAGAAATATTTTAAACAACCAACATAAAGCTCAAAAATATAACAGAAAAAAAAAAAACAATGATATTAAATATTATGTTTAATTTGCCTAAATCAAGTGCTTATTGTAAGTTTAATCAAAATGCCATTACAGAAAAAAATAAGAATGACCTGAAAGAAATGCTAAAATTTATGCCTTTTATAAGGAATATTATGAAAAAATTACAAAATTGTAAAGAATAAAACATTTAAAAAATTAAACTTTTTTATTTATTTTCTTTATAAAATAAAGGTATTAGAGTTTTTTACATTTTTATAAACATAAATAAGAGATAAGTACAAGAAAACAAAACTATGGAACAGTATTAGAATCTGGAGTTGCATTTAATACATCTGCTTGGCAATTTAAGAAAATAAAAAAAGCAAAAGACAAGTTTATAAGCCATAAACTTGTCTTTTGCTTTTTTTATTTTCTTAAATTAAATAATAATCATTAGAACTTTGCAACAAAAAGCAAACTTAACAAAACAAACAAAAAGCAACTTAAAGTTGCTTAAAGTGCTAACTAAAAATAAAAGTATTTTTTTTTTAATATTTAATTCTTTTGTTAAATCATCAAAGATGTTTAACAAAAGAATTAAATATTAAAAACAACCAGTTTGAACAAATATTTTCAAATTTTCTCATACAGTTTCTATGGGAAAAGAAGACAAAACATTTAAGTCAATTTTCTCAAAAACAAAACAACTTAAAACTATATAACTCTCATGCAACAATACTGTTGTTTATTATAGAGATAAAAATCATCAGCTCAAATATAACTGTTATTTTATCATTTCTAAGCATTTTCAACATGACAAAACAGCAGTTCACTTTTTCCTCACCAAGTTACTCCTTGTTACAAAGTTACACTTTGTGGTCAAAATAAAACTACTAAAAATCAATCAATATATTTCTGAAATATTTGGTATTACATTTCAAGGTTGTTTACAAATAGTATAAACTACTAACCAGGGCTGTGGAGTTGGAGTTGCTGAGTTGCAACATTTTTAGAGGAGTCGGAGTCGCTAAACAAAAACGCGACTCCGACTTTAATAGTAAAACTTCTCGGTATGTGCAAGTACAAAACATTCAATTAATCTTATATTCATACTAAACCTCCAAGAACGTTTCATAAATTTGTCAAAAAAATAATATTTAACTTATTGCGTAATATTTTTTAAAGAATTCAAAGAATTTTTCAAAAACACCTAATGACAATGATTAAAATACTAATAGTAAAAATAATAAAAATATTGTTTATATTAATAATAATAATAAATAATAATAATAAATAATAATAAACAATAATAACAAAAAATAATAAATAATAATAATAATATGTTATTTTAACAATAGTAATAATAATAATATAGTAATTATAATAACTTAAATAAATTGGTATAACTTTTTATACAACAATTGTTTATACAAACAAAGCTACAGTTACAAACAGTAATAAACTGACAAAATGTAACAATTATCAATGATATTAAAACAAATATTACAACAAAATTATAAAGATTAAGTAAATATATTAATCATAGTTCTTATAATATAATAAACAAAATATATTGAAAATATTATGACTAAATAAAAAATAAAATATAAACAGAAAAATATTGAGAAAATCAAAACGAAACAAAAGTTACAACAAACATTACAAACAAAACAAAAAATTACTTAAGTACCTTTAGCAAAAAAAAAAAATTAAAAATAAAAAACAATAATAAATAAATAAATAATAATACAAGTTAGAATAAAACATATATAGTAAATGGCTAATATGAAAATAAAAACAAATAATATACAACAGTATAAAAAATTTCTATATCACTATTTAAAAATAATTTATAACTAAAAAATAAAACAATAAATGACTAATAAAAAATAATAAAACTTTATACTCTCAAAAACTAAAGAAAAAATATCATTACTACAAGGCCGCATAACAGCATAACTAAAAAATAAATTGTAAAGAAATAACCTTAAGAAATATAGAAAAGAAAACTAAAGAAATATATGAAAGAAAATTAAATAAATATATGAAAAAATAAAAAAAACTTGGTTTATCTTCTGTAAAAAAATAATAAAAAAAACTTGTTTTGTCATCTTTTTCTGAGGTTTAAATAGTTTGTTTTTTTCTTTTCCATTTTTTTTATTTATTTCATTCATTAACTTTTTTTTTTAACTTCTATTTGTGATATATATATATATATTTTTTGAAAACATTTATTTATACTTCATTTTTGTTGATTTTATTTTTCGTTTAATTTATAAATATTTTCTTTTCCCTTTTTCCTCTTTTAATCAATATAAAATATTTATTTGCATTATTGAAAATTAATAAAGCAAATTGCTTAATGGTGAAGCATCACAGTAAATTACAATTGTCTTATTTTCTCATTACTTGAAAAATCACAAAATAACTATAAAACACTAACTTCTTTGCTATACCCCATGGCAAAAGTTCATGTGATGGAGAAACTATAAAAAGATAAAAGTTCATATGATGGACAAACTATAAAAAGATAAAAGTTCATGTGATGGAGAAACTATAAAAAGTAAAAGTTGAAGAAACTGCAAAAAGTTACAAGCAGCAATTACAAAAAATTTTATCTTTTAAGTAACTTCATATGATTATACCATTAAATTAATTTTTCCAAAACCTTTATAAACATAGAGATGAAAACAGTCGAAGACATGCAAAGTAATCACTGTTTTTTACCAAATAAAGAGAATATGTTTCAGAAAGTTAACAGTTTACATATAAACTAAATGGTTAAATGTCATGAATGTCATGAAACTTAATAAGAAAAGTTATAACAAACCTTTAACTTAGTAAACTTGCAATTGTTTATCATTGTAAAAACATTCCATGTTTTTGAATAAAATACACTGCTAGTTATTATACAAGATCTTGTTATGATCATGCTTACAATACGTCAGTGTTAAATGTTTTTAATGATTAAACACTGTTTAAAATTTTAAATTATTAAGTGCTTATAAAACCTCAACCTAAAGTGCAAAATTTTTAAACTTGCACTTTAGGTTGAGGTTTTAATTTAAAAAACATTTTTAATTTGCTAATTTGATTTTAAAATCTAGTTCAATTATGCCATTTGTTATAAAAAGCAAGTTTTAAATGTGAATTTCATGCACATTAAAAAACTTCAAATTAAATTTGAAATAGATTATTAATAAAAAAGTGTCACAGATGCAAGTGCTTAACTAATGTCACAGATGCAACTCATTATTTGGGTAAAAACTATGACTATACAAAATTTTATAAATACTGCTATGGTCCAAATAACACAAAACATTGAAGCATTTATACTGTTTTATGTATAAAATCTGTAGTAAAATTTGAAGAAAAACTGATCAGTGGATCATTTTTTATTTAATGTAAAATAAATCTACAAATAAGAAAAATCTATTAATTGTTGTTAGTTTTTTTTTTATTGGTTAATACTAGAAGCTTCAATTAATGCATAAACTTAATTAATTTTTTCTTTAAATAATAAATACTCATAAGCCTAAAAAAATATACATTTTATAAATAAAATTCAAATTAGAGTTAGAATGGGTAATGCCGCCCTAACTGCTGACTTAAAAGTATCTGAGGTCTGGAATCTTTTGACTTGTTTCTATGTTGTTATGGTGAAACCTTTGTGCAATCCTAATGTGCAAAGTTTTTAATACAAACTTTTAATAACCAAAAAATATTTAAACATTGACCTTACTTTTATATATATATATATATATATATATATATATATATTATATATATATATATATATATATATATATATATATATATATATATATATATATATATATATATATATATATATATAAATTTATAACTTAAGCATATATCTATATATATATTGATTATATATTATTCATTTTATTAGTATAAATTATTTAATACCTAATCTTAATTTTATTTCATACGTAAAAAAGTATATGAGAAATACTGTAGCTATTTGAAACTAAAAAAAAAAAAATAATTACGCAATGGACAATGCTGAACACATCTTCCGTTCAACAAAGCTGTAGGGATTGGGCAAGTCAAACAATTAGACTGATTTCCATTTTCACAAGACAAGCAAGAACTGTGACATGGCAAACATTCGTGACTTACTCCTACAGTGTACATATGTATTGGACATGATTCAACGCAATACTAAAAATTAAAATACATAAGCAAATTTAAAAAGAAAAAAATTAAAATACATTAAATTATAACTAACTCTTAACCATATATCTAATCTATGCTTTCTGGTTATCTTCTACCTTTATCTATAAGTCTAAAGTAACTATTCTATATAATTACCACCATAAATCAATAGAAATTGCATAAATTAAACAAAATCTATATACATACATAGATTCACAAAATATGCATACTACATACATACATAAAATATACTATATACTTTTTGTTTCACATACTTTATACATGTATATATATATGAGCCGGTCAGATTCACCAGTCAGAATCAAAATGGTGCGACCCTCGGAATTATGAAAAATGAGGTCAGTAATAATTTGTTAACCTCTAACTTTTAAATAATAGGTAAGCAAAAAAAAAAAAAAATTGATACAAAGGTCTTACAATAAAATATAAAAACAAGGTCTGCAAAGGTCTTACCATAAAACATAGAAATGAGGTCAAACACTTTAAGGTCGGAATTGCCGAATGCAGACCCTAATTCCAAGGGTTGATGGTGTAAGTCAATGTTTCCTCAATTTATATATATATATATATATATATATATATATATATATATATATATATATATATATATATATATATATATATATATATATATATATATATATATGTGTGTGCATGACAACACTAAAACTTGCGTCTAAGTGTCGTCATGAAAATAAGTATATGATCAATAACTTTAATGCCATCAAAGAGGACACTCTACAGTATTTTTAATATATTTTTTTGCCAATATTTTTAAGATTTGTAGCATCTGGTGATGCGTGAAACTCCAAGTTATGTTTGAAAGAAATCAAATATTATAACTATTTAGTTATAATATTTGTAAATATATATCATCAGATAGGTTATATAAACATGCAATATAAGTTATATTATATGTATATATTTATATATATATATATATATATATATATATATATATATATATATATATATATATATATATATATATATATATATATATATATGTATATATATATATATAAATATATATAATATAACTTATATTGCATGTTTAAATAACCTATCTGGTGTCATACTGAATAGCCTACTGCTCCAGGCTTTAGTTCTTGCATCAACTGACTAAATAAGTAGGAGTATCACTACATTAACTAAGGGTTAGGGCTGGGGCAGCAATTCATTATTCTTCATTTTTATAAAAAAAAAATTCTTTTTCTAAAAAAGCCATATGGATATGGAATACAGTAACCAAAAAAGGTCGACAAGTATATCTATATAGATTATAGTATAAATATATATATAAACACATATACACACATAAATATTTATACATATTGAGTTAAAATTTACATTTTAATTAAACTTTGTGTTTGTTTATGCCTGTTCAAAGCCAAACCCTCAATTAAAGTATTTGCCAAATTCAAACTCTCACTTAAAGTATAAGCTTAAACCTTCAGTAGATGTACTAGTCAAACCTTACCCAACTAACCTAATCTCTTTATTACTTAAACCTTTTTACAAAAAGTTTTTCCTAAATTATTGTTATAAATTAAAAAAATAAAAAAAAAATACTTTAATATCAGATGATTTGTAAAAATATCCTTTGCAAGTAACGCAATTATGGGGCCCAACCCCAACACATCCACTATCACAAAGTATATGGCATTTGCTGTAAAACGGCTTTACTGATTTTTTTTTAAACTTTTGAGGTTGATGTTCAGTGCCATAGATAATGAATTCTACATCTTTCAAAAAACCTTGTTCATAATCATCAAGTTCTAAAACAATAAAGTATATTTAGAAATAAATGATTTTTCATAAATTATATATAAATCATCATAAAAAATGGTTTAAATTAATTTACACTACTATTCTACTATATATAACACTAATACTATTATATATAATTTTATTCTGTTATATATACACTACTACTATTATATATAATTAATTTACTTAATAGTTACTTATACAACTTGAGCAAAATTTTTTTTCATATTCTAATTCACTTCCAACAAGGCTGCAAGCAACCTCTGTTAAGTTGGGAGTTTTTGAATGAGAATTAAAGAATGAGTTTTAGTTTGACAGAACTAAAAATAATAGCTCCTTTGAGTATCTGCCGTTATAGTATTTGTAGAAAAAAGAAAGAGATGCAACTTTACATTGATTTGAAAAAGGCTCATTGTTTAGCAGATAGAGCAGGTCCAACTATGGTCCAACTCTGGTTTAGCAGATAGAGCAGATCCAACAATTTTGGACCTAGAAGAAGGAAGAGCATTATTAGAAGAGCACAAATATGACAACAGTAATTCATACAGGAACATATAAGAGATTTGTTGAGGTTGAGAATGAAATCAGCAAAAAAGTACAAAAAAAAAAAAATAATAAAAAAAATAAAAGAAGTACTCGGTGTAGTTAAGGCAATTTACAAAATATTTGAATACTTTTATTTGGAATTAGCATGGTTTTGTCAGCATATTATGCCCAAACAAAATCTTTAAATGTTATAATTTTTTTTGATTAAGGTTTTTATAATATTTAAAGAAACTTTTCTTTTTTATATTTAACTTTTAAAATCTTTTTACAACCCGTAATAATGTATCTAAAGAACACTATTTTGGAGTCTTTAGATCAATTCCGCTCATCGGCATTAACATTAATTTAGTTAAAATCTTTTTAAAAAGTTACTTAATTTACTACTGATCCTAGTTCTAATCGGTTACGACGTATATTAACTATATATAGTTGTCAAAACACAATATTTCTATTAATTTTCACAAAAAATACTGGAATTCCAACCAAGAAAGAGCTTATAATTATAAATAATTGCCAATAAACGATCAGAACAGATCATATTGTTAAACTATAATGTTTATTTCTCCTAAAAAACATATTAATATAAAATCTTATTTAAATTTGGACGAGCAATTGGGATTTTACGATGATTTTTTTTAAAAAAAAATATTTCACAGTCTGGGTTTTTTCGCTACAAATATTTATATTTTATAATACCGCAAAATTTATTATTTTAATTTTTTTCGTCTTTTCATAATTCACAGACCAGACCATTTCACGGAATTATTTCATAATCAACAAAATATCATACAGACACTATAATATTTTAAAAGTGCCTTAACTACACCGAGTATTAAAAAAAACAGTATAAAAAAGAGCTTTAGAAGTAAATAAATTAGCTACTAGCTTTAGTATTTTTTATTATTAGCTTTTTATTTTATACGTGTACATTTACATGTGTACATTTAGTTTATATATATATATATATATATATATATATATATATATATATATATATATATATATATATATATATATATATATATATATATATATATATATATATATATATATATATATATATAAAAGCTTTATAATATTTAGTTGTATGTACATATTAGGATACATCATATTTTCAAAATGTTTGATTTTTAATTAGGCAGACCATTTTTATGGTGTTTATATTTATTTATATATTAGTTGAGCCATCTAGGTCAACAATTATCTCAATGGTATTTCATTAAAATTCAGCATACAAATAGAAAAGTTAGTCTCTTCCCAATATATTGTTCAGGATTTGATAGCAAACTTTGATCTGTTCCTGAAATTATTATGGAGTTTGTAGAATCCTCTCCGACAACTTCTAAGGACTCAGGATTTCCATTGGAACCATCTAATTGTAAAGAGGAAATGCTTGCTTCTTTTTTTCTCCTTTAGAGAAAACTTCTTTCAAATAAGATTTTTTTTTCAATTTAGGCAATAAGCCAACAAAGTTCACACTTCGAAAAATTTTTCTTTGATACAAATATAATTTTTTCAAACAATATTTGTTAAAAATAAAAGTTCACCTTTGCAAAATATGATATCTAATCTTATATAAACTTTCAAATAATAGTGAGAAGTTGCTTTGATGTATATTTTACTTCATAAAAAATTTAATAATAAATAATATCTTGAGGTTTTTCTCCACTGCTGCTGATAAACAATGTCAGCTAGTAGCTGAGAGAGGTCTCTTACTGATATATTCCTTCAAAGAACAAAAAAAATTAACATCATGCAAAAATTTTATATAAAACTGAGAAGTTGTTTCGATGTATATTTTATTTCATATTATTTCATATTTGTAGTTTTTGTGTTTACATTTTTGTTTTGTAGTTTTTGCTTTCATTTTGTAGTTTTTGTGTTTACATTTTTGTTTTGTAGTTTTTGCTTTCATTTTGTAGTTTTTGTGTTTACATTTTTGTTTTGTAGTTTTTGCTTTCATTTTGTAGTTTTTGTGTTTACATTTTTGTTTTGTAGTTTTTGCTTTCATTTTGTAGTTTTTGTGTTTGCATTTTAGTTTGCATAAAGTTTGTTATTATTTGTGCTGTTGTAGCTAATTATTTTAATTGTTGTTCGCTGTTTTTCTATTTTACAAATTTTCTAAACTTTTTTTTCGCAAAAAAATAACCAAAAGTTATTATTTTTTAATTTTATTTTATTTTGTAGAAGTTTTTTTGTTTGCATTTTTGTTTGCGTAAAATTTGTTTTTATTTATGCTGTTTTTGTTAATTATTTTTATTTTTGTTTGCTGTTGTTATTAAGTTTTTTCATATTTTTGTCATTTAATTTATTATAGCTTTATCATTATTATTATTATTTTTAAATGAACTTAATTTACGCATGCTTTTATTATTATTGCTGTTGATTTTTTTTGTTTGTTTATTTTATTCAGATATCACTCCAATGTCTAGTTTTTAACTATATGAGTGACACCTCAACATAATTTTGTAAAATTATAAAAAACTTGTAATTTTTTGGTTGAATAAATGAAATTGAAATTGAGCCGTCAGAATGGTAGAATCTTAGAAAGCCATTAAATAGTTGTTATATATCATTATCACAAAAATTTTTATATTATTATGATATCCAAATCATAGATCGACTCATAAACTTACTAGATAACTGATAGATTTTTGCGGCATAATTTCCAATTATTTGCTTTCCTGTCTTCAAGCATATGCGCACATATTTTTTTAAAACAAAAATATTGCCATTGGAAATTCATCTTTATAAAAATTCATTATTTAAAAGGGGATCAAAGTCTGCTTGCAAAATATATGCAAGAATTATTCATGTGTAAATGTTAATTTGGTAAAAAAAGTCAGGCAACTCAGTTTGATCCTTTTTTGGAGGATCCTATCTTTTGTAGAGGATCGTACCTATCTTTTAATATATATGAGCAGTTGGTAGGTATAATGACATATAATTTTATACCAAAAATGGTTGTATAAAATTATCTGCCACTATAATACAAAAAAAAACTAAATATTTTTCCATCAGTATTGATTCTACTTCTGATATTAGCCATGTAGATTAACTGTATTCATTTTTCAGTATGTTCAAAAGAATAGCTGTCCGGTAGATAAATTTTTAGAGTTTTACCTAACTCTGGTCATAAGTCTGAAGAATCAGCAGATGATTTATTTTTAGCTTTAGAATTTCATGGATTAGGTATAAACAATTGTTGTGGTTACAACAATGTGTCAAACATGTTTAGTAGGTATACAATTTTTCTAGGTCGCCTTAAAGAAGTCCTTACAGTTGTAGTTCTAGTATTAATTTTTTATTTTGCTTCAAGTCATTTATAAATATTTCAGTGATTCTACATAATGATGGGAAATACTTCAGAACAACTTAATTAAAACAGAAAAATTATCACTTAAAAAATCAGATATCAGGTGGTCAGCAAGATCTGATTGCAAGTGTTAGTTTAAAAGAAAATTGGAATGAAATAAATAATGCACTTGAAACAGTCTTGAAACAGTTATAATGACCACATTATGGGGTGATTAGAAAGATTAAAAAAAACTAGTAAACAATTGCAGTTTTATTTAGAGACAGTTGTAAGTTGATACAAATCGTTAATTCGATATGTATTAGATCTAAGTAGTATGTTCAATATCTATGGAGAGAGAGAGCAATCATTAAATTGGGACACAAAACATATCGAAAAAAAAAACGCAAAAGAAAAAGAAAATTATCTGCAGATAAAAAAAGAGAAGAAGAAATAAATTTTGAAATTCGAGACTCTTTAAGGATTAACACATATTATGCTATTATTGATAAACAACATTCTGAACTTGAAAGAAAAAATTGTGCCTTGAAGAAACCAATAAAAATTATAACTTTTTGTTTCAAATACTAAAACAGAAGTTTACAAAAAAGCAGAAATGCTTCAAAATAAAAAAAATAATCTTTCGACTTCATTTGTTAAAGAGTGTATACAATTCAGAAATTATTTATTGAGTTGAACTAAAAACATAAGACCTAAAACTATAATAGATATTTGTAAAATGATCAGAACTGATAAACTTCAAGAACTATATAACTATTTGTAATGCTATATATACTATTAGTAGATATTAAACTTAACCTTAAAGTATAATTACATCGTCATTACAAAAAATACTTTCAATAGGCGAGTTGCATTTTAAAGCACATGCACAAAAACACCGGCAAGCAAAACATTTAAGCTAAAGCAAATAAAAATAAGTTAAAGTAAATACAATGGCATTTATTCTTTCCTATATTATATAAATTTAGAAAAGAAGCATAAAAAAAGATATATAAGTAAATTTTTTTATTTGAATTGTTTTATTTTTTAAAAAGACTACACTTTTTTGAATAAATATTTTTACAAATACGTAATACTTTATTTTGTGTAAGTTACAGGTAAGTAAACAACAGTTTGAAAAAAATGTAAATTGATTTATTATGAGAA